TTTTTTTTTTTTTTTTTTTTTTTTTTTTTTTTTTTTTTTTTTTTTTTTTTTTTTGGGGGGGGGGGAACTGATTACACTGAAGCTAACAGCTGAATTTATTTGTTTCAACATTTTGTGATAAAAGCACTCCCTCTGTACCAAAAAGGGTGTCCCACCTTTCCTTTTCAGTAGTCCCAATAATCATACTCAGACAAATCTACCTAACTTCTAGTACATTTCCAAATATAACCTCTGTTGGGAGATTCCTTCCAAATTTTCAAAATTGGAAAGCTTTTCCCACATCCAACACCTATAAGAGTAAATATAAAAAGTAAATAAAATAAAAAGGTAAATATACAAAGTAAATAATATCGACTTACAGGGAAGGCTTTTAAATATGTTTACTAAAACTATGGATCAATTCAAATTAGACTATACCTTGGGGCTGANTGACAGATATTTTCACGAAGTCTCACACTACGTTGCGTTTTCATTTTCTTCTTAACAAACTCTTAATGCTACCTACTGTCACATCATTAGTTTGAGAAAGGATGATAAAATTGTATTTATATTTACATTTATTTATCATTAAGAGTATTTTAGTCTTTCTCTTGTAGTAGAGTTTTATATATAGTATCTATTGTAACTTGTTATTGTTATTATGGAAGATTAGATCTCTTCTCTCTTCTTTTTCTGCATATGAATTCTCTTCTTTTAATCTAAGTTTTCAATGATGCAGAGGGAAGGAAAAGAAAGGGAATAACCAATCCTCACAAGGATAGATCAAGAAACACAAATCTCCGCAGAGAATTCTCAAACTAAAAATACTCAACTCTGATTAAAATAATGTGAAATACATCTTTGTTTATAAACCAAGTGTCCAACCATAAAGGAACTACTCTACTATTAAAACTCTATCAACTTATCCCTACTAATCTCAATCTAATAAATACTATCTAACTAAAAATAAGATAAAAATAACAAATAAAAATTCCAACAAATCTACCTAGTTCATTTCTTTTTGGACCAAAAACTCGTAATTTGCCAAGGCTTATGGATTCGATCATGTTGGTCCAACCATCCTATGGCTACGCCATCACATAACCTCATTTTTCATCACATTAGTTTTGTTTGTGTCCGAAACTGTTATATTCACTCATGTCCATGTACTGATTATAACCATTTTTATATTATGACTTTGACTAATATCTCTTTAAAATTACAAAAAAACTTCATTAATTATAAAATTACTTGACAAATTTTCAAATTTTTGAAAAAAATATCAAAACATGTCCTCAAGCATGTCCCCAATGTTAAACATGTCCTAAAAAAAATTAACAATACAAAAATCAGACACTCATTTTAGCGTGTCCGTGTCCGACACTGACAATCTGACCAAAATAGAGTGCTCATGCTTCCTAGACCTCTAGCATAATGATTGATAGGATCACATCAGTCTTCCTAATTCGCATTGTTATAAGTATTTTTTGAATATGTCCAAACCATCTCAAATGATTCTATCTTAAGTAACTCATATTGGTGCTACTCCAACAATGTCACAAATACAATTAGTCCTAATTTTAATATTCCTTATTTTACCATGCATACATCTCAGCTGTACTTGCTTTTGAATGTGTGTTATTTCTTAGTAGCTTAATATTCTGTACCAGAGAAGATGACAACAGCTGTTCCTAATTATGGAATAATTGGAAACATCCATAATTGGGAACAGCTGTTGTTTCCTTAGATTGCAGTGCCAGAATTATCAGAACTCTTTTAGGGGGTTGAGTAGCAGATTTTTGAAGGTCACATATGTTTATCTTTGGAAATTTATTGCCATAGGACTGGGGTTTCTATTTGAAACTTAGTGGGATACAGGTACAATGACACGAGGTCGAACCTGAAAGCCCCTAATTGGAAAAATCTGTGAATGATAGCCATGGTAAATCCAGGGTGGAAGTATAGAAGAGCTGTTCGAGATTTATGAGTTAGTGCTCAACAGCTAAATAGAGTGCCATAATGCATGCTTTTCAGTAAGATGCTGGAACTAAACTTCTTAATCAAATCAAGAAAAGGAGAGAAGTATACTAAACATATTAAAATGATAAGAACATAAACATAATAACCTAAAATAATGTAACTCACGCTTAAGGCATATTATCATGAACACAATCAATNCAAAGTAAATAAAATAAAAAGGTAAATATACAAAGTAAATAATATCGACTTACAGGGCAGGCTTTTAAATATGTTTACTAAAACTATGGATCAATTCAAATTAGACTATACCTTGGGGCTGAGGGTATAATATATGGACAATCGACCACATTTTCAGTACTAAAAATTCTAGTCTATTCATATAGAATGGGGGGTTAAAAAGCCAACCAAGAATAGGACATGAGAGGGGAGAGAGTGGAAACAACTTATGACAGCAAATGCTTACACTTGAAAAGCTATTCGTTGCAGAATTATTTGCCACATAATTTTCAAATGATTAAAAAAATTTAAATTACCTTCTGATCTTCCAGAGGGGTGCCTTTTACTGCAATCAGTGAATTTATTGGGACACTCTCGGGGTGCGAGGGGAGCGTTGCCAACGTGTGCAATAAACCAACTCTGTCCTCCTCTGCCTCTCCAAGCCCAATTATTCCTCCTATAAACAAGAAGTAACGGGTTACACATCCATTTAGTGAGTTTGAGCATTATCGGACATTCATCTCTTAACTAAGAAATAGCAGAATGTTATAACCAAGAGACAAATGGCAGTTATCTGATTATATCAAAGTATCACTTCATCTAGGTCAAATCAATGCACTAAGGTTGATCAAGAAGAGAAAGGGCGTCCGGAGCCCTCCCGGAGGAGAGAGAAAGGAAGTTGGGAGAAGGAGAACTATTTAAGAAAAAGCCTTCCAAATTATTAAAAAGACATTCTGAATTGCTAAGTTCAAACAATGTTGTACCAAAGGAAGTTGGTAATAGAAACAAAAATTCCTCTGACCTGCTCATAAGTTTAACATATGATCAGAAAGACACTGCATATGACTTTTTATGCTTCACTGCTTTGGCAAGGACTTGATTTATGAGGCATAACATTTACTACAATCAATCTTTTGGTAAGTGACTGACCTAACCTAGAACTAATCAATATTCAATTAATATAGCACTCAACACGATGTGTCATCTTGAATTTCACTCAAACATAATGTCATAAATCCATTTCACAGCCATAGTAATTTGACCTTAACAAGCATCTAATTTTAAGTTTATACCTTTTTGTATGGTTATAGTTGAAATAACTAGACATATTCAAGATGAAACTACTGGGAATATATCAGTTGTAATAATATAGTATTTGTAATACCTCATTCCATTTTGGCAAAGAACTAGGTGGGGAATATTATCTTGGAAGGAATAAAAAAAAAATTTTAAGAAAAATCTAGAATGTTGGAAAAGTTTCTAGAAAGTTCTAGAAGAATCTGGAAAGTTCTAGAACAATCTAGAGAAGTCTAGAGTATTTTAGAAGGTTTCAGGAAATACTAGAAGGTTTTAGAAGTATTTAGAATGATCCGGAAAGTTCCGAAAGGACGTAGAAGGTTGGAGAAGACTTTCGAATATCATAGATGAATTTAGATACTTGTAAAATTGTCATGTGCAAAATAAGTTTGAAACCTAGAAGGATCGAGGAAATGGGGAAAATGTCACATGTCAATATTCTTTAGAATAATCCTAGAATGCTAGGACATTTGGGGATTCGATTAAGATACAAGTGCACAAGTAGTCTTCCACTTTTAAAAAAGAATAGAGAGTAAAAGAGAGAAGAAGGAAGGAAGAGCACCTCATCAAAGGAGAAAGGAAATTGTGAGAAAAAATGGAAAGGCATCGATAACATCTCACTCTACTTCGGGTAACAAGCAACACTCAAGAAACATATCATTTGGACTTGAGGTGAGTGGTTTGGCATACTACGTATTTTTCCTGTATCCCTAAACATTTTAAAAATGATACATAATGTTTGTTCTTTACTATCTTTACAATAATGTTTTACTAATTGTCTAAATATTTGCGGCATACGACTTTGATTACTTTGATGAACTTTTTTGTGAAGTATTGTGACTCAATCACTTATTTATATGGTGAAACTTAGTGATGGTGAATGGGACCAAAATTAAAAGTCCAGGGAAATTATTCCTCTTTGTGCGGATGACTCTGGCCACTAAGGAACAGGCCCAGGGGAGGCTGAGGTGACCCTAGTACTCAACGGCTGAACAGTACCTGGTGCGTCTTGGTGACCTTCACCAGATTGTCTAAAGGAACAAACCCAGGGTAGACTGTGGTGACCCTAAATACGATGTTGAATCCAACCCAGAGATATATTCTGGCATTTAGTTAAAAGTCCAAGGAAATTATTCCTCCGTATGCGGGTAACCCTGGCCACTAGAGAATAGACCCGAGGGAAGCTGACGTGACCCTAGTGCTCAACGGTTGAAGGAACAGTTCCTGGTGCATTCTAATGACCTTCACTAGATTATCTTAAGGAATAGTTCCCGGGTGACAACCTGCGGTGACTCTAAGTACGGTGTTGAATCCAACCTTGAGATCTTCTGGCATTTGGTATGGTTCCCAGATATCGTACAAGTCCTTACCAGTATGAGATGATGATATAATTTGTTATTGTCACAATGTTTTACTGGCTTTGTTTATGATTATCTATCGTATGTCATACGTATTTTCTTGTATTTGGTATTTGGTTCCCATCAATTATTGGATATCGTACAGTCTCCACCATTATGATATGATTCACCATTATGATATGATTCACCATTGTGATATGATACACAATTGAATATGCATGTCTTTCTTTTCATTGGGCTTTTTAGTTCATGCTTTCAAAATAATATTTTTTACAAGTAAACAATTGAAGTGTCAATAGCAGATTCAANTTCCCATCAATTATTGGATATCGTACAGTCTCCACCATTATGATATGATTCACCATTGTGATATGATACACAATTGAATATGCATGTCTTTCTATTCATTGGGCTTTTTAGTTCATGCTTTCAAAATAATATTTTTTACAGGTAAACAATTGAAGTGTCAATAGCAGATTTAGGGAATTGGTTGGGGACTAATAGTGTTGTGACCACCGTAGCATATATTGTATAGCCGTCTTTACTTGTTTGTATAATTGAGACAAACAGGTTTAGATATGCTGACTTTGACATATTGACATGAGATTAATTTAGTGTTAATGTGGTTTTCCACTCCTATATTATTAGTTTATTGTTAGGCTTACGTGTTCTATAGGTTATGAATCTATGGTTCACGGCCGGTCATGCCCTTGGAGTTGGGGTGTGACAGTATTAATTTTGAAAGCAAAGTGAAAATTAACAGTAATTAGAAGTTCGGAGAAAAGCTTCAAAATCAAAAAGATACAAGATAAGTAGACATAAAACTAAATATATAAAATAAAATTTTAGTAAAAGGATACATGAAACAAGTAGAACATATCAAGGGACAAACATTTTCGATATTTGAGGTCCATCATCCACAAAGAACGAGAAATTGGAGACGATTTAGTAATAGAATATGGGAAGATATACTAAGTGGAGGTATCGTGTGATCGACGTATATCTGCTAAGCTGATAGCAAGTAATACAAGAAAGCCCTTAGATCCGCAATGCATTATTGTACTTTATGTTGACTATAATAGAAATAAGAATGTTAAGACGGGTATATGGTAAAAACAAAGGGGATAGAATTATAAATAACAATATATGTGAAATGGTGAAAGTAGCACCAATAGGAGATAGCTAAAGAGATAATCGACTTAGGTGACATGTTTACAGAAGATCTACCACTACGACAGTGACAGAGCAATGTGATATCTATCAATGGTTGCATACAACAACTTATGGATTAAATGGAAATAGTACAAAAGTGCACTTGATAGAGCACAATACAGGAACACGATACATGTAGTAGAACCAAAATAGTTTGGGATAAGGCTGCGTTGAGTTGAATGAAGGCTTAGATTAGAAATTTTAAAGGGGATTCGATCCATGACCTTGGACATCTCTGGGCCAACTTCATTGGTAGTCAGGAAACTAGTAACCTACTGAATGCCATCAGGACTCTTCTAGCGTGACAATTTTTTGTGTCTAGGAAAGTAGCAACTGATACAGGTAACATGGAAAATAGTAAGCCCACCATACCAATTATTTCTAAATGGTAGAGTCACTGGCACAAGAAACTGTACTTAACTTTAGACATCCACTATGTTGAGGAAGCAAACCATACTAATCATCTCTTTCTCTCCTTTCCTTTTCTATTAATTATTATCCTTAATAATTGATTAGAAAACATAGAGCAAAATGCCAGCACTCCACGCACACGAGTGCAAAAGTAAAAAAAAAAAACCTACATTGACAAGTTTAACAAAAGACTTAAAATTTAAAAAAAAAATAGAAAAAGAATGGAAAAGAAGAACAAAAAATTGACAAATGAAATTGACCAATCACAAATGGGTGATGTTGATATATATTTAGATTGTATATAACTGACCTGAACAGACGTTAATCCCTGCTTCACGAACATGATGAAGGGTTTCCAGGCGTTCATCATAAGTTCTTGTAGTTATAATATTAGGGTAATACTCTCTTGAGGTATCAAGGTTATGGTTATAAGCTGTAAGGCCAGCCTCCTTGAGTTGTAAAGCGTGCTGCTTCTCTAGCATTCCCAAGGTGCAGCAGACCTCCATCCCCATTCCTCTGAATGACAAATAATATAATACAGAGTAAGCTTTTAAATAGAAAAGCAAAATAGAAAAAACCAATGTCGGGCAGGCCACATTAAACTTTGATATAGTAGCAAAAATAAGGAAAAGACAACTGATTGATAAACATCAGAGATAGCCTCTTATTTCCATTTTCTAGGTTGCATTTGGAATGGAAGATTTTGAATGTGAATATGCAGAGAGTTAGTGGTACTGGAGTCTGATGCAGAAAGGGTTTCAAGTAACTCATCAAACTAGGGATTAATAATACACATCCATGACGCCATTGAACTACACCTTTCAATGCTTTTGCAGTTCATCCAAAACTTAGTATAATGATGTCTTTCTGTGGACCTAGACAGATAACATTCATTGGGTTTTCCTTCTTGCTGTCTTTAACACACACCTTTTCTGATTCTAAACTGCACAATCACATCAATACTAAAGGTCTTTTTAACCAATTTTTTCCAAAACTAATTTCAATTGCAATAATGCCATTACCAGATGCTTTTCTTTCCTTCTTTTTTCTTTTGACGACAAAAGAAGAAAATAAGAATTTGGGAACTCTCAAAATACCTAGCAAAAAGAACATCAAAAAATTGTACAATTTCTCACTCATGATATCAAATATTAACATACTTTACGAGAGCCTGATTGAATTACTCTCAACTCCTCATTGAAGGTGGCAACACTCTTGAACAACCAGCAATCTAGTAAAATTTATAGAATTATATGAATCGAAGAATGGATTTTACAGAAATAATTAAATCGTCTCTTATTAACAGGAAGTGTTTCAATCCATTCACTGTGCTATTCCACCACATTTGGAATTGTGACAGTCAGACAGTTTATAAGGAAATAGACAGTGATACAAGCTCTTGACATTGGAGGACATTCATTTTCTACCTTGACAGGTGTCCTTTGACGCAAATATACATCAATTGGATGCACTATGGTTCATTACCTTATTTCTTTCACATATTCAAGGATCTGGTTGAAGTTGGTCTTCCTTCCAACCGTGTCTCTCCATGCAGCACCCATGCAAAAACGAGTACTACCAGCCTCTTTTGCCTACAAATGGATCAGTTCAGGATAAGACTAGTTCTGCCACTTTGGATTTGAACTTCTAATTAACCATGACCACATTAGATCAGAAACCAGTCCCAGTCAACAAGTGCACAAGTAGTCAGTAAAAGCATAATTATTTGCAAATATGTAGGTATTCCTAGTAAGAATCATACTATCATGTACATTTTGCAGTGCTATTTTGTCATTTGCCTACATGCTACTAAAACTTTATTTCTTTCTGGATGCAATAACATTTTTTTGCATCTATAACACAACGTTGACAAATAGAAAATTCACTTTCACGGATATGCATGGAAGTTCATCCAACTTAAAAAAGAATATTAATTAAAAAATGTTAGTAAGGAGGCCATTAAATATGGAGGAAACGAAACAAAAGAGTTCATTACTAATTACAACATGCAGAAGCTATTCACAACTATTATACAGAAGCAGTGATCCCCTTACTGAGCAATAAATATCTTGATATCGACATACACGAATTTGTTACATTTACCCAGATTGATGAGGCAGAGAATGCCAATGCCAACAAAGGCATTTGAATAGCACAAGCTCCAGTTCTTGTGGATTACAAGCTCGCAAAAATGTTTTGTTCACCGCCAGCAATACAAAGCTACAAAACACAAATACGGATACGACACAGCATAGACACATGACATTTTTCAAAATAGTAGGACACAGACATGCCAAGGACACATTACAAGTAATTATGTTTTATGTATCAANGCTACAAAACACAAATACGGATACGACACAACATAGACACATGACATTTTTCAAAAGAGTAGGACACAGACATGCCAAGGACACATTACAAGTAATTATGTTTTATGTATCAAATGGGATAAATTTTCACAAATATAAGAATAATTGTAGTACTTTTTTTTTTTTTTGATAGGAAATGGAACTCTATATTAATAAAAATTAAAAAGTACATCAAAAATAGTTGGATAAAATCCAACCAAAAAGTAGAAATAATAAAGCAAAAAAAGAGCTAGATCATTTAGAAGGCCCAGAAATCACATGCAACTCTCCATCCTACTAAAATAGCAAAAAATAGGATTCCTTTAAATTAGTCAGAAACCTTAGTCCAAAATGACACTAGAAAATGAATATGGTCCCATAATTATGGTACTTTCATAACAAATTCAGAGCTTTTTGGCACATAAATCTTATGTCTAGTCAATTAGTGTAAATTTTTAGACCTAATGATCATAGTATTCAATAATCATTGATGTTTTTGTACACAATGTGTATAAACATACATAATCATAATAATTGCCCTTATCTTCTCAATTTCTCTTTTTCAACAAAACTTCTATACATCTTTGCTTTTATTAGTAAATTTTATGTACAACTTTAACAGGGCTAGTCTTCATAATTGTATAATATTTCATAGGATGAGATAATCATCTGTCTAATTTTTTAGGCTTTGTTAATTACAAAAAACCTGTTTATATCTTAGTAGCAGACCAGACATAAAGGACTGTCGTACAAGTTACTAAAGGAGTCTTGAACACTTGTCCAAAATTAAAATTTTATTTTGATAAGAGCATCAGACTTATGCCTAAGAGGGGTCTGAGAAGTGTTGGTGTCTAGCATGGATCTGTCGCCTTCTCAAGATTGTCCAAGCTTCTTACTCACATAGTATCAAGAATACCCATTGACCAAATTGATTGGGTAACGCCCATTCATTTCCAGGCCAGAATGGAAAGCTTAAACCAAGAAAGAAGAAGAACAGTTGGTTTTGCCAGCTTTAGGGAATTGGTTTGAATTTCCCTGCTTCCATGCTGGCATCCCTAAATATTGAAGGTTAAGCATTGTACAATGAGTTTCGTAAGCAGTGCTATCAGCAGCCAAAATACGTGTTCCAGTGAGCCAATTGGAACTCTATGTTCCTAAGGGTTGACCAATTTTTGACATGAAATAGAAGACTTCATGATGCAATCCATAAGACGCTCAAGAAAATACAAATTTAAAGATGTGAAAGATAATATAATTGACTTTCCATCAAGACAAAAATTCATATGGAACCTTGCATTCTTATTTTAAGTCAATTTGCTAGTATTAATATTTTATATGTCCTTTTAATATTTTTAGTGTCAAAGGTATTTTTGTAATTTCTAAAATTTTTAGAATAAGTCATATTTTTGGGTCAAATTCTAGTATTGAATATTCTAAAATTTAACGTCCTAGTTCTAGTTAATTTTAATTTTCTAATTTGTAGGAACCTAGTGTCTTTGAAGTTCTAGAGACTTTGGAATCCTAATCTTTTGGGATTAGGATTACTTAGAACTCTATATATAGTTAGTTTTACTTTTAATAATAGAAGAAGAGGGAGATATTCAGAATTTTGAGCAATTACATATTTCTTGAGTTGTGTGATGCAATTCTAATCCTGGGTGTAATGTCTACAGAACCCTAGGAGTGATTCCTAACCAAAAAAACTGTTCATACTACTATTCACAACCCCATTACTGTTCATGAATACTATTCACAGTCCTTGAACAACNGTCTACAGAACCCTAGGAGTGATTCCTAACCAAAAAAACTGTTCATGCTACTATTCACAACCCCATTACTGTTCATGAATACTATTCACAGTCCTTGAACAACCCTAAATAGTTCCTATTTTTTATTTTACAAAGTTGTCCTACATCAGTTTGGTTTCAAAGCTGAAAACTCTTATGTTATACGACTTAAATATTGATATATGATGATGGAGATCCAAAATTTTGATGGAAGGGATGATTCTACAATATTCTCTAGTTAGCTTGTTTCTATAGAGAACTATTTTATTAGGTATAATTTCTCAGATGAGAGAAGAGTAAGGCTTGCCAAGATGAAACTTGTAGGCTTGGCAAAAATTTAGTAGTTTGGTGTTAAAGGAGATATAAGAAGATTGGAACAATCTCCTATAAACACATGGCAAAAGATGAAAGCTAAGCTTCAACAGAAGTATATGCCCTCAAACTATAGTAGCAAGTTATGCAAACAACTTATTAATCTGCAACAAGGTAACCTATCTGTTACAGAGTATATTCAAAGATTTGAAGAACTAATGTTGAAAAACTATATCGTAGAAAAACCTTGCCAAATAATTGTTCAATTCAAGGCTGGTTTAAGAGCAAATATAAAGACAGAAATACTTGGGCAGCCACTATACAACGTAGAGCATGCATTCCAAGTGGCACTTGGTACAGAGATATACCTAAATTTCCTTCACCAAGTAGGTATATCAAGGGTTTCTTCTTCGCAAAGGGGTAAAACTTAAAGTTATTTAGATTTTATTGTGAAACTAGAGAAGATTCATCAAAGGCAGCCCAAAGCAACAACTGATCGAATAATTCAAGATAAAGGAAATTAAGTAGAAGAATCAACACAATCCCAAGCAACTACACTACTTACTTGTCCAGAGGCTAAGATCCCAAGCGATGATATTCTTCATGGATATGGTAGATTGAGGGTACTAGCCAATTCTGCAATCCTGCAATGTTGATGCAACAATAGATTGCAATGGCTTTAAAATAGGGAAGCTCATGCAGTTAAGCAATGCCATAGAGGAAAATCAGCATAGCCCCTTCCCTCAATGTTAGAAGGGTGACACGAATATATCTAATGGGCTGGTCTAACCAGAAGACAAGACACATCCTAGTGGGGAAAGTGGCATAGGGTTTTCGAGTCTCATCCAGCAATCAGTTGGACAATCTAGATTTTCCAATTTAGGTAGCAATGGGCCAACGCTAGGCCTTGAAGATATGTATGAGTCAGTAGCTCAACCATCCTTGAGGTTCTCTGTAAGCACTTCTTTATGCTCTCCAAATCCTATATCGTCTTTTCCTGGTGAGGTTGCCAAACGAAAAGAACATAACAAAGTTCCTCTCTTGCAACAAGGGCAGAAGACGAGACATTTTGCCGAAGCCCTCAAGGCTGGCCTTAAAATTGGTTCAGAGGCAAATAAAGGGATAATTTCTCAGCCACTCATTGCAAGGCTTCCTGCCGAAGGACGGGGCCGCCATCAATTACTCCCACAATACTGGCCAAGGATTACTAACGAAGAGTTGCAGAAGTTATCCAGAGATTTAAATTCCACTATTGTGTCATTGTTTGAGAAGGTTTTAAGCGCTAGTGATGCTGGTCAAATTGGTTGTTTGGTCCTACCCAAAGCATGTGTTGAAGCTTATAGTTCTAGTTAATTTTAGTTTTCTAATTTGTAGGAATATAGTGTCTTTGAAGTTCTAAAGACTTTGAAATCCTAATCTTTTGGGATTAGGATTACTTAGAACTCTATATATAGTTAGTGTTACTTTTAATAATAGAAGAAGAGGGAGATGTTCAAATTTTTTCTTTGTTCCCTCAATTAGAGAAGAAAATGAGACATAATTTTAACGCTTCTCAGAGACAACTACATATACAAGTTCAAAGTTTTTGGACTTTCATACTACAACACTTTAAAACTCGAGGTCGAGTTTTCTTAAACCAGGAGAGAATGATGCAATTCATAAGATGCTCAAAAAAACACAAATTCGAAGATGTGAAAGATAATGTAATTGATTTTTCATCAAGACAAAGATCCATATGGAACCTTGCATTCTTATTTTAAGTCAATTTGCTANACTTTCCATCAAGACAAAGATTCATATGGAACCTTGCATTCTTATTTTAAGTCAATTTACTAGTATTAATATTTTATATGTCCTTTTAATATTTTTAGTGTCAGGGGTATTTTTATAATTTCCAAAATTTTTGGAATAGGTCATATTTTTNTTCTTATTTTAAGTCAATTTGCTAGTATTAATATTTTATATGTCCTTTTAATATTTTTAGTGTCAGGGGTATTTTTATAATTTCCAAAATTTTTGGAATATGTCATATTTTTGGGTCAAATTCTAATATTGAATATTCTAGAATTTAAAATACTAGTTCTAGTTAATTTTAGTTTTCTAATTTGTAGCGACCTAGTGTCTTTGAAGTTCTAAAGACTTTGGAATCCTAATTTTTTGGAATTAGAATTACTTAAAACTCTGTATATAGTTAGTGTTACTTTTAATAATAGAAGAAAAGGGAAATATTCAAAATTTTGAGCAATTATATTTTTCTTGAGTTGTGTGATGCAATTATAATCCTGGGTGTGATGGCTACCGAACCCTAGGAGTGATTCCTAACCAAAATTACTGTTCACGCTACTATTCACAGCCACATTACTGTTCATGAGTACTGTTCACAGTCCCTGAACAGCCCCTAAATAGTCGTTATTTTTTATTTTACAAAGTTGTCCAACATCACTTCAACAAAAGTTCAATTTCTTGCCATATTCGACCATAAGCCAAACAACTATATTAACAAAGAACACAAAATCATACTAGATCAGAATTTCAGAGAAAAGCAAGAGAGAAACTCATGCATATTTTGCATAATACCACAGAGAAAAAAAAATATTCCCATCATCCCAATATCATAGGGCATGTTTCTTGTTTGGTGCGTCCCAGATATAGAGTCTAGTTTCAAAAGTTATGGTACTTTTTCATGCAACATTCC